TACACCAGGAGCCAAAGTTCGCTTTCAGGAAATCAGATCCCCAACTATCAGTGGTTGTAGGATTAAGCTGTAAAAGGATTCATACACCGCTAGTTGGCAGTGTTGTGCATATATTGTACATGAATTATCAGCTAGGAAGTGTCAAATTGAACTTGTGCTTTAAAATCAGCTTCCGCTAGTTTTTCTATGACATAAGCGTTTCTGAAGTTGCAGACCTAAATATTTACATAGGCGCTTTAGAAATTGCGGAGCTAATTTTTGAATTAGTGCTGCCCACCACTGCTTAAATGTATTTTAGTTATTTGAAAGAAAAGAGAAAATGTACCTGCAGGATCTGGTAAGCCACAGAGCAGTTGCTAAAGAGGGCCACCATGCACTTGATGCATTGATAGGCCCGTTTCTGATAGTGGTTCTTGGAGCGCTGGATGGTGTCAAACAGCCCATCTCTGTCATCAGGAATACCTTTAAGCACATTGTGGATCCTAAAAGAGAAAAAGCAGAAAGCTCAGGAATGATGCCATTTAAAAATCAAAGCAGAATAACTGTTCCAGACTGACCTGTGTGTTTGCCACGAGTCCTCGATCAGCAGGATCTGTAGCAACAAGTCCAGYTAAGGCCTAAGCTCGTATGTGTAGGAATATGCCACCTGAAAGTAAAAAGGAATCCCCTTGTTTCAACCACTGCTCTCAAAACACCAGGTCAACCTGTTGGTGGATGATGGTTCTGGGGTTTACCTGCCAGAGCAGCTCACTGAGAACRGTGGAGGAGAACTGAGGGTTCTCCCAGCAGCAGAAACGAAGCAGCTTCACCGTCTCCTCAGAGTTGCTGCAATCCTCAATGATCTTTTTCACGTAGCTCGTCCTTACAAACAGGATCTCAGCCACCAGCTGCTGCACAGGCATGACTGGAGCCGTCAGATTCGGGTCCCCATARGGGTTTTGAAGGGGAGGGTTACCTGAAGGTTAAAGAAGGAAGAATTTGAAGCATTCTTGGTCAAATTGTCTGTCGTTTATGAATCACATGAACCCTCAGTTCCAAGCTATGCTAACAGCACAAAGCTCAGAGTTGGCTGCTGTGTCAGTCACTGAATCCTGAGCAAGGATGTCAATCATCACTGGGCTGTAACATCATTCATCCACAGATGATCACCTACCGTTGATGGAGGACTGCATGCGTGAGGAGACGTCACAGCAGCGCACCAGCTGTGACACCACAGTGTAAAGCTTGCCCAGCTCAGCGTACTGGTATTTAATGGGAGGGCCGGGACCCTCGTCCAGAGCCACCAACATAAAGGTAGCAGGGACGTTGAGCTTCAGCAGCTGAGTCTTTTCTGCAAGGCCTGTGTGTTGTTGAAGGAATGAGAGGAAGATCAGTTTAAGATCAACAAGTGAACGGCTGTAGAGGCAAAGAGAGAGGAGGCTTCTTACCCAGGTTGGCATACATGACAAAGAGGTTAAAGTACTGCTGCAAGTGTCGGCCATGTTCAGAAACCTCTCTTCTGAGCAAGTTCAGTACCGCTCTCAACAAGTGGTCACTAAGGCTCAGGTTATCACAGCCCTGATTCACACAAATAAAAAAACATATATTTATACCAGAAAACTTGCTCCTTTGTTCACATCTCAAGGTTTAACACCAACCTGAGCTGAGGGTCCAGGTGAGGCAGTGGGGGAGGGGCAGGGCCCGTCTTGCAGGGAGAAGTGGGCGATGAAGACTATGAGCTTGGCAAGCGCTCCACGAACCTCAGCGCTCGGGCACTCCAGGAGGTACTCAGAGAAGCGGTTAGGGTAAGCGAACAGAACGTTGTGTGCAAACCAGTAGCGTACATTCTTACTGTGTCTCAGCAGGATGCAGAGGGCATCATACCTACAGAGGAAACAATGAGATTACAGACGAGAGCAACGCAAAACTCCAAAACCACAGGAAGCAGAGCTCACCAGTCGCTGGCAGGACCCCGTACAACCTTCTTGGTATGAAAACCTGTGCTGAAGAGGAAGCGAGCAGCCAGCTGAGCGCTGATCATAGCTATCTCCTCTGCCTCTGGCAGAAGATGGTCCTGTCCTGTTTGTGAAGAAAACAAGAAAATACACTGTAATTTGCTCAGTTTTCTTCATTATTATAAAATTACATAAAAGCCCAACAGGAAATAACTGGATTTTATTCAGTGACGAATGAAATCGTAATAATAAACTGTCAAAAAAATAAATAATCTGAATTAACTTGTCTTTACGAAAACATCAACATAAAACACATTAAATGCTTAAAATATAAATGACACAAAAATCAAACTACAATCTATCATAAATTCATATAGATTGTTCTTTTGCATGTGTTTTGATGGATTTTAAATCTAATTTTGATGTTGATTTTTGTATTGACATTGTTTCTTTTCATTATTTTTATTTGAGTGGCTATTTTTATTTTATTTTTTACTGCTGTGTCTGATTTGACTGGGAGGGTTTTTACCCTTCCCTTGCATGTGAAATATCTCATTTTTAATTGTTGTGTTCTTTTGTGTGTTAAATCAAATCAAACTAGCTGTATAATTTTCTTGTTTGCAGCATATTGAACACAGTTTAAAATAAAAATCTCTGTTTTTGGATCAAACAGTTGTTTGCACTTTTATTTTTTCGGGGGGGTTTATTAGTTATGTCTCCTTATTTGGGCATTTCAATTATTTCTTTATAAATGTAAACATCTTCTGAATAAAGTTGAACATTCGTTATTATCATACATACAAACTGTAAACTAGCTAAATAAAATGTGCAGTTTTTCCTCTTTTAAGGATGTAATTTATGAAGGCAAAAAAATAAATAAATAACTAAATAAATAACTAAAAAGCACCCATTTTTGCTATTTTTCGTCTCACCAAAAATAAAGATCCATTAGAATAAAAAGCTAATTAAAAGTTATAAAAATGTTGGGTCATTTGGTCAGTCAGTGCCTTGTTATCTAAAGGTTTCCTTAAAACAAATAAAAACACCTATAGTGCTGTCCCGACTGGTCGACGTCATCGGTTACGTCGGCTGCATAAATACGTCGACACGCACAACATACCGTCGACACGTCGTTTTACGTGAATACGTCGAAAGAGGAGAAGGCAAAGAACATGGCGACACCCGGTCCGAGCAGTACACGTGACGACTTCGATGACAGAGTTCAGCCAAGGAAACGTCCAAAGACGTCGAAAGTGTGGAAGTATTTTAAGCCGAAAGAAAAGGGCTTGGTTGGTTGTTCACTCTGCAAAATGGAGWTAGCCTACCATAGTAGCACTACCGCAATGAACGAACACCTGAAGCGCAAACATCCTGGTGTTCTGCTCGAAGATGAAGGCAGGAGGAAAAGTGCAGAATTGTAAGTCCTCTTGTTATATTGCTTTTTGGCGTTAACGTAATGTATTAAGAATAATAACGTTGGCAGCAACAGTCTCTGTGGTCCTTTTCTGATTGTTAGCATCGACGTTGTCCTCAACAGAGAAACTGAAACTTACACACTTCAGGCAGAAATGTTTTTACATGCAGTGGGCAGTGTTGCTTTCACAAAACAAACAAACAAAAAAAAAACATTAAGGTGTTTCTTTTTCTCCACCTTCTCCTTGTTTACCAAGGAGTTTGCCATTAAAATCTTGACAACAKCGTGATTTATACATCGTTTTATGCCTAAYATTTCCATAAATTCTTTTTTAACGGCTGTTAACAGTATTTTCTCATTTATGGATTGATATCGAATTGATAGAAAGGGAGATCCAAAATCCTTTCCATAAAAATATTTGCCTCTAATGTGTTAAGAAAACTAAATAAAGACAGGAATTTCAATTAGAAAAGATTTTTATATTTATATTTTGTAAATTAGTCTTTATATTACTCGATCAACAAAAAATAATCGTTAATGAATCAAAATAGTCGATAGACTAATCGAATAATCGTAAAAATAATCGTTAGATTAATTGAGAGAAAAATAATCGTTTATGACAGCACTAAACACCTGTCACAACTTCAGAAAAAAAAGTGTAAATCACATATTTACTTGAGGAACAAAGACTGAATACATTTTTTAAAGTTTTACCTTTTGAAGTTATTACCACATGCTGTTTTATAGTAACAACTTTACAAATACTTTTTTCCCCTGTAAAATACTGAGCTGTGAACTAATCAACAACTGACTTGTGATTAATACGGCCAACCAAGAGGCAGGGCAGTTATCTGCAGTACGTAGTTTCCTAATCCACAGTAATGCAGACTAAAAGTGTTTAAATGTAATATTTAACACAAGAAGATTAGTATAATTAATAACGATAGCTGCTGCATCTCAAGAAGAACCACTTTGAAATCCAAATGAACAGAGATATGATGTGAAATTATTCAGTGTTCCAAAGATCAAAGAGTCTCACGGGGGAAGAAGTAGAGAACAATCTGAACTGGAGGAGGGATGTGATTCTGTTCATCCAGAAATACATTATTTTAAAATGAGCTTTAAACTTTGTTATTCCTTCACATTTAATAATGATGATCTGTTTGCTTATTTTACCATTTGTTGTATTATGCACTGAATAACATTTGCCAGATCTCCCTTTTAAAAAAAGTGACTCAACTCCAATGGGACTCGCTTGATTAAATGTAAACATAAAAAATAGCAACAAGTACCGTATTTTTCGGACTATAAGCCGTGACTTTTTTCCTGAACTTTGAACCATGCGGCTTATAGTCCGGTGCGGCTTATACGTGGATTTTTTTCTTCAGCCACCAGGGGGCTCTTATGCTCCATTTGCTTCAACCACTCACTTCAAAAAAAGAAAGGAAAAAAAAAGAAAAAAGCGATCCTTCCAGAGCCGACTGTTGACCAGGAAGCAGCGATTTAAAGATGGTCAATGGCCAAAAACTCATAAAGGGGATAAAACAGACATTTTTCACGGTGGAATCTGACTGATAAAAACTTTGGAGCTTAATCCAGGACCAGTTTGTGGATAAACGTTGAGTGAAGAGCTGCTGACTTTTTTGTTCCTCATTGCCCACCGCAGCTTCAGAGCCAGCATTACCCCGGGAGGACAACAGATACCACTGTGTGACGCAGCTTTTCTCAGCTTGTTTAACTCAGACACTGAAGAGGAGGATTTCAACGGTTTCAGTGCGCCGGAGGA